TCATTTGTGCGGCGTGACGGCATTCCCGGCGCTGCGCTCCTTGGGGCTGGGGCAAACACGAAGGAATGCGGGAGCCGCGCGCTCCGGCCGGGACGCTGCTGTCGGAGCAGCGAGCGCCCCACAAGAGGGGCAGTTCCCGACCTCTCCGCGGCTCCTCTTCCCAACCGGGACAACTCGCGGCCTCCCCAGGAGGGGCCTCTCGGACAGGCTTGTGTCAACAGCGGGAAGCCACCACCTTCCTGCGAGCAGTTAGACACTGTTTACAGACCTCAGCGTGACCTTCAGCACTGTCCCCACGCTGTCCCCTCCCTCGGGGCTCCTGGGGGTGGCAGGATTCGGACCTGCACCTTTATGGGACACGCTTGATGGCAGCCACAAAGAAGGGGGCTTTTCCCCCCGCTTCGTCCACAGTTCTGCACGCCTGGATCCAAGCTCAACTCACCGCTACATCCAGCACAACTCCTGTTTTTAACCCCAGCTTGCACCATCTTCCCAGATCCGTGACACTGAGCAATGGGCCACCCCTGCCCATTGCCGCACGGAGCTCGCGGAGGTGCTGGGCAAAACAGGCGCGTGCGGAAAACTCCTGGAAGAGGCAGGATAATTTTGGCAAGCTGGGGGTGAAGCTGAGGAGAGCTGAAGGTGAGAAGGTCGCTGCTTTAGTGACGAGTTCAAGGATGCTGTTTAGACACGGCAAAGCGGGGAGGGCCAGAGCTGGCCCCTTCTCCCCCGTGACTGTCACTTTTCCCGGGAGCACGTTTTGATGGAGTGCCTGATCAAAGCGAGCAGGCAAGAGGAGGAGACCAAAGACAGAGCTTCGGGGAAGGAATAAATGAGTGTTTCCAGCAGCCCGGAGCAGCAAGGAGAGGGTGGGCCCGGCTGCAGCCTGCGCAGCGGAGGCAGCCCCGCGCACAGGTGTGCCCCGGCCGCGGTGCCTCGCAGCACCCGTCACAGCAAGTATGCAAACCTGACAGGCCATGCATCACCCTGGAGAGAGCTGCACAGCTCCCCCAGAACCCGGGCAGCCGCGGGGCTGATGCTGCAGATAAGCCCCATCCGTGCTGGGGGTTTCTGCAGGACAACATCCTCCTCGCCCGGCGTTCCGGGCCGTGCGTTGGGAAGGCCCCGTCGCTCATCCGAGCTCGGCACATCCTAAGCGCAGTTTCGAGGCGCTGCGGAGCAACGCTCTGGCTCAGCTGGAATGGAAAGCGATTCCTGAAAGTGCTCTTTGTTTCCCTGAAAAATCCAGGCTGGCATTCAGGCTCCTGCCTAGGGTTTCAGTCAAAGAAGTTAGGAGCAAAGTGTCAGAATTCAGACTGAAAGCTGGAAAGTTGGACTATTTCCTTGTGCCGGAGAAAGCATGGCGAAAGGAAAAAATACACCCTGCTTAAAAACTCCATGTACGTTCACAAACCCACAAGAAGCCATTAGTTCAATGGGACCCACAAAAACGTCTCGCGCTCCCGCTGCTGACTCTGCAGTTTGCCGAAACCTTCATCCCTACCAGCGCTGTTGTGACTGGTAGCACCGCGAGAGTGGCCTGTTGAAAGGCCACGGATTAGGTTATTGTTAGAAAAGAGCAAAACTTGCTAATTTCAGCTCTGAGAAAACACAGGACATGCAAAACCGGAGAGCTCACGCTTAGCAGAGGCACTTTTTTTCAGACCCTGAGGAGGTCAGCTCAAAGCAGGGCAAAAGGAAAAGCTGAACTTCTGACAGGCTCCTGACAAGCCCGATTTGTTAAAAATCGGTTCCCGAAGAACACCTCGGTGCATGTGCCCCTTTTTATTGCTATGCTGGCTGAAACCAGAAAGCCAAGAGTCAAAGCGAGGAGCGCGTCGCTGAGGAACCCGGGTTGTTCCAGGCAGGCCGGGCCGCGGCGCTGCGATTCCCTCCTGGGTTTCTCCTTCGGCGGATGCAGAACCCAAGGCCACGTGCTGGGACAGGGAGCAGCGTTTCCTGCAGTGGCTGCTTCTCTGCTGCTGCACGAGCCAGCGCCTCCCCGGCTGCTGCTCGTGAGCGACGCTGCTCCGGGCGCCTTCCGCCCGGAGCGGGAACGGCTGGGAAAAGCTGCTGGGAAGTTTCCCTGCTGCAGCCAAGGGAAGCCCGTTCCCAGGCGCTGCAGAGGGCTTAGGGGATGCGGAGTCGCACGAGCACTGACCTGTGAGCAAAGGACATTCTTGTGGATCTTCTTGTAAATGAGAGCGGGGCAGATGAAGCAGATGAGGCTCCCCATCGTTGCACCTGTGAGGCCCAGGACTGTTTCCACTGGCAAAGAGAACAAGAAGTCAGCAGGGTCCTTCTCTGGTCCACAGGGAGAGCGCGGCACGAGCCTGGCGGGACGGGATCCTTTCCCGGAGCACCGGGAGGACACGGAGCCCTCCCGCTCCCCAAAGGGATCAGCAGCCCTGCACAGCCTGGCAGCGCCAGCGCTAAGCAGCAGCTCCAAGAAAAGCTTCCAAAGTCGCTGCTGGAAGCAGTGGAGCTGGGCTGGGATGGGGAACAGGCAGGGGATGGAAAGCAAGCACAGAAAGGAACCAAGGCACCGAGCCCTGTCCCAGCCCCTCACTCACCATTGGGGATCATGATGCCTCCGACCATGGTTCCAAAGACAACAGCCAGGGTGAGGGCTTTAAACCGAAGGGGCATCACTGCTGGAAGCAGAGGAGCTGGGCTGGGATGGGGAACGGGACAGGGGGTGGAAAGCAAGCACAGAAAGGAACCGAGGCGCCGAGCCCTGTCCCAACCCCTCACTCACCATTGGGGATCATGATGCCTCCGACCATGGTTCCAAAGACAACAGCCAGCGTGAGGGCTTTAAACCGAAGGGGGGGCATGTAACCCCCAGCAGCAAAGGTCCCGTCTTTTTGCTAGAAGAGAAGGGGTGGGGAGAGAATGAATTAGCCCCCGCTTTGCACCCGCACGGTTCCAAAGCGACGGCCCCAGCAGCCGCTGCCCCCAAAAGGGTCGAGGAGGCCGGGGCAGGGGCTGGTGTGAGTGCTGGGGGGCAGCCCTGATGACAACCCGCAGCCTGGGCCTCCAAACGAGGCCAAGGGCGGCACGGAGCCCCTGCTGCTGTTTGGCACCCTGTGCCCTGCACGGCTGCAGCCCGAAGGGAAGCAGGGGACCCGGGGAACCCGCAGCTCCCGCTCTCCTGCCCGTACACACGGGAACCGAAAGCCAAGAAGGACGCTCAGAACCAAGCAGCAACAAGCGAGACCAGGCAAGAACCGGGGCCTTTCCCTGGGCTTATCCTGCAGCACCCGCTGCTTCCACCAAGAGCCTCTCCCCATCCCCAGACCCTCCCGACGTGAGAAAAGAGCCGGGGGCTTCTCACGGGCAGAAGTGGCAGGATTTAGAGCTATAAATTGCTCGAGTTTTATTTCCTGCCCTAAGAGGTTTCTATTTATGCGGATACACAAAGGCCTCAGAACATTCCCACAATCTCTTACTGTTATTTGCTGAATGCCATCGGCGTGCTCGCTGCCGCACAATACACAGAGGAGAACACGCCGCTGCCACAAGGGACTCACAGTCTAAATCAGACAGACCAGCTACAGTCACAGCGGCCGTCGGAAGATGTGACCCTGGGAAAGGTGAACGTGGGGGAGCCGGGGATCCCGGGAAAGGTGAACGTGGGGGAGCCGGGGATCCCGGGAAAGGTGAACGTGGGGGAGCTGGGATCCCAGGGCGGCCCCGGCACCCCGGGGACACCAGCCTGAGCGGAGGCTGCAGGGAGTGGAATAAAAGAGGAGGAAGGAGCAAGCGCATGGAAGCATGGAAGAAATGAATCCGTGCCGGGCTCCGAGGCCGGGAACAGAAGCTCAAGCTGTGCTCGAAGCAGGATCGAGACAGCCAGCGAGAGGATGCCAGCCGGAGCAGCGGGAAATAAGGAGGCTCCTCTGTTTCTAAAAACACATTTCTCCCTCCTTCCCAAAGGGAGAACCACCTGAGCTCCACGCTGAGCAACACTGGGGAGCGAGAGCCTGGATCTCCAGCAGAGCTGGGAAGCAGCAGCCGCATGTCCTGGGCGCAGCAGAGCAGGAGCAGTGCCAGGCTCACAACCCCAGCGCTTCTGCCCACGCAATTCCTCTGCAGGGAGGACAAGCAGCTCAGAGCAGCACAGACTAACCATTCCGCAGGGATTTACAGGCTGCCACGGGCCTCCTGCTGCACCGTTACCACACACCAGACACTCGTGACATCGCTGTGAGCTGAGGGCTCGTCCCTCTGAACAGGGAGTATCAACCACGGGTCAGAAACAGGCTGCTGTGAGTGGAGGCTCAGGGACGCATTTATAACCCAAGTCATCAGTCAACAGCTGAAGCCAAGCAGTCACAAAAGCCCTTCAAGAAGCAAATTTCAGAGATGCACCCAAGGCAGCCCGTCACCACGCGAGAGGATCTCACCTGCTGCTCGAAGAGAAGGGTGTTGAGCGCCTGTCTGCAGGGCAGGATCATCATGGGAAACCCCACCGCCACCGACATCATGAATCCCACTCGGATCATCTCCGTCACGAGGTTGGAAGGGAAGTTCATGAGGACGTTCCCAGCGATGGCTTCGGTGTAGCTCACGTAGCCGAAGAAGCCAACCTGTGTGTGGAGGGGACATGAGCACACGGGACGTGCTTCCAAGGCACATCCCCACCACCCCGTTCCCTCTGAAGGGGTCACAGCCCCCGAGTTAAGACCAGCCGAGAGCGGGGCAGCCTCCGCAGACCTTCCAGGGCTGCAGCTGCAACGCTTCCAAGAACTCCGATAGGCAGCTAAAGAACCGTGGGTCCTTCCTAAACACAGAGGCAAGTTTCTTGCCAAACGGGAGGCTTTCACAAGGGACCGGAGTGAGGGAAGGCTGCCCCTGAGGTGACACCGCGCTGCCGGCCCCACAGCCCCAGCTCCTGCAGCAGCCTCGCTCGCAGGGACAGGCTCTTCCCAGGAATCATTAACTCTGGTTTATTTAGCAGTGCTTGACGATGCATAACTTCCTCCACGGCTTTCCCAGTGCAGCAGGCCAAAGAGGAGCCCTCCTCCACCCCGCACGGCACCTCCCGTGCGGGAAGGGACGGCCGGGTCCCGCTGCCGCCGCCACCGAGGAGGCCGAAACCGCGGACCCCGGCGCTGCCCCGAGCGTCACCTCCCACCCACCTTGCAAACAGGGATAACTAGAAAGCAGCCCCATGCAAAGGTAACTCATCACCCCCCTTGCCAGGAGCCACGCTCTGGAGGGGCAAGGAAAGAAAAGGGGAAATTTCTTACCGTAATATAAAAGGTGGTGACCACATTTAGGGAAGAAGCAAATATGGAGCTCATGATTTTAACAGATGGCTCGTCCAAGCTGTCATAGGTAGGCAAGACCTGACTGGAGAAAGAGCTAAATTATTTGAGGAAACTTTCCACAGAGAGCGAGCAAAACCCAACTCAAGCACATTCCCTGCCTCAGCCCAGCAGCAAAAAATCGCTGACACCTTCCCCCTATAGCACATAAACACGCGCCGCTATTCCACAATTTATACTGCTAATGCCAAGAGATTTCAGAACACTCATAACTTTAAGTGTTGCAAAAATATTCCTGCTCTCCCCACCCCACCACGTGGAGCTAAACGTGTGATGTAAACATTTTGGTTCAAAAGCGTTGCAAAATGAATGACCATTTGTTCCACTGAAACACCAGTGGCACCAGGCCAGGCAGCGCATTGGAGATTATTGTTCTTGGAGCTCTCTATGCTGATAATTAAAGCAACGCAGTGTTTACAGAGTAAAAGCAGGAAGAGGGTTAGAGCATCACACTGTCTAAAAGAAAAGTTAAACAAACAAAACCAAACGCAGCGCCTGTCACATTTCAGTGCTGCTGCTAGGGCTCGGTTCATAGAAAGCCGGGAGCACCAATTACACGGGATTTGGGGTATTTACAGACTTGGAAAGCATGTGGAATGCACTTTTTGACATCAGGTGCATATTTTAGCAACTCATTAACCTCCTGTTACTTTAATTCAAGCGGCCACATCCTGGCTGCACGTGACTCTGCAGGGGAGAGGGTAGGGGGAAGGTCCCGCGCGCAGGAAGGGGTGTCCCCAGCTCCAGTGGGCAGAAAGCCATTAGAGGACGTGTGTCGAGCTGGGAAAAGCCCAAAAACCCTTAGCCCTTAATCCCTTCACTGAAGGGTTCTGCCCAAAGGACCGAGCAGCAGCCGAGGGGAACCGACAGCCTCCGCGGGGCTGCACCGCGACAGCCGCTTCCCAGGGAGCTTCCCGATCCAGCCTCCTCCGTGCCCTCCGCTCCAGGGCCTGTCTCGGACTCTGCCCCACACACAGACTGGCCCAGGACGGAGAAGGACGAGAGGAAGCCGAGGGCCCATCCAGGCTCTGCCACACGCGGGTGACGCGGCCGGGACCCTGCGGTCCCCGCATGCCAGCTCTAGCTCCGCAGCAAGTGTCGGTGCTCCGGACACGAGGGACCCGCTTTGCGAGTTCAGCAGCGACGGGATGGCTTAAGGAGTGAAGGGCACTGAACTCACAAGTAAAGCGGGGTCAGATTTTCAAGCTAGGAGAAAAGCAGCACATTTATTCGCCCTCAACATCCCGTGCTGCACTTATGTGCAGAATGAGAAGAATTTCTGTTTTATGTTAGTTATTTATTTTTAAAAAAGTGGTTCAGAGGTTAGCAAAATTAAACCTACCTAGCCGAGAATAACATACTCGTAAAGATTGCCTGGTCTGGGGAGAGCATATTGCTCTAATGCTTGGACAAAAACCACCCCGAGTTAGGTTTGGCTTGCCACGTAGGTGCCGTAATGGAGTCTATATTTAGGCCCCTGAACACTGGTCCAGACCAAACGATTTCCCTGCATTTCCAACTCTCAGCAAAATTGTGCCGGGTACTACGTGGCTGCCAAAAGAAAAAGGAAAATTTGGGAATTTTCAAACTCTAAAATGTTAACAAGGTAAAGCTGTAAGAGAATACAACTCCCTTCGCCAGTTGTAATGGAGACATTAAACAGCAAGACTGGAGCGCGTTCGGGCAGGAACCGAGCTGCCAAGAGAGCCGATAAGTGGAAAATGATGATTTGGATCTTGCATGTGGGTGTAAACACAGCAGTCTGAACAAATTTTATCTGTCACATTCATTTGCTGTTGGCATACAACCCGTTTGCTAGAACTACAGGGGGGAAAGCCCAACTCTGCCAGCCTTCCAAACAAGGATGGTCTTTTCCGTGTCCACGTTTGGATTTACACTTCTATTTAAAGGCTGTTCCTATTCCGGCCAGGCACGTAGCGCTCCCTTGCCATTTTGGTGACGAAGGTAACGCTGCTAGGAACAGGAAAGTCACCCGGGCTGCCATCATGCTCTTCCACGTGCCAAAGGAAGCCCTTGCGAAAAGCACGTGCCGGGAAGCTGCAAACACCTATCCAGAGGCGACGAGTTTGGAATTTTCTTGAGTAATCTCAACTAAGTCACAGTTCGGCACACGCTACCCTGCGGGGGCCCTGCGGCCATTAGGAGCTACACAGCCCTGCTGTCTTTCCTGGTACTAAATCACTCCCTCCAAGCAAGGGCAGAAATCCATCACGCAGCTGTGCCAGAAGCAACGTGCATTACACTAAGGGTCTGCTCAGCCCAACCGATCTTCTCTTGCTCAAGTACAACAGCTCCCGAGTGAAATGTAACTCCCTCCCCCGTGTAGGTAACAAAAGGGTCACAATTGAATGAGATGCTGTACTTTGGCGGGCTGCGAAATGCTTTGATTAAAATAAAATAGGAAACCAGATGGTATCTGTCCCATGCAGATGCTCACAACCCTCTGCCCTCACAAAAACTCCTCGCACACAACTGCCAGAAGCGAGAGCAGCAGGTACTTACGACTGGCAGGCAAAAGACATGCCGAAGATGGGGATGCAGCGCAAAATGCCCTCCCAGCGAGTGTAGCTGACCCGCTGCAGCCACTGCCCGCTGAAGAGGCCGTGCTTGAACGAGGAGAGCACGATCTGCAGCGAGAGAAAGAACAGGGTTAGACTCGACTCCAAGCAGCTTGTGGCAAGGAAACAGCACGGCGGCAGCAGCAGCACTGGGATGAAGGCAGGGCCAGGCTGGCGAGAGCAGCTCCCGCTCCGATCACGGCCTGATCCGAGAGAAACTCCCCTGTTCCCCTCCTGCCCACACACCCCCACGCGCTTTAATAAAGCTCCCAGCAATCTCAATAGGTCCCTCGGCACCACGGATCCGAGGGTGTATTTTAAAAGATATATGGCAGATATATGGCACTCCTCCCCTTGTTTAATGCCATCAGACATCAGAGCACACACCAGGGTGGAACAACCTCCCCTGACACATTTGACTGGGGATTATTGTTCTCAGCATTTTTTTTTTGCGCTTTTAACTGTTTCTTTTTAAAAACCAAACAGGAGACGACATTCATCTTGGAGAACTCTGCTATGCATCAGATCTGAGATGTTATGAGGTTTTCAGGGCACAAGAAACGAGCACTGGTATCTGAGAGACAAAGTCACTCACTGCCTGGAAGGCATGAGCCACCAAATGCAGGAGAGCACACCAAGTACAAACCTTGCGTTCCTAACACGAACCAGCTCCCCCTGCAGAGGAGGGGGAGCTAAAAACTAAAGTCTTTAATGAATATATACATATATGTGTGTGTGTGTAGGTGCACATATACACATACATATATATGATAAAAGTCACTCTGCTTCCAGACATTTCCCTCCTACTTCTGAGCCCTAAACCCTGTAAGGCACCAACAAGCAGCATAAGCCACAGCTCGATTTGGTCACCACAATCTGTAGAATCGGCAGCAGTGGAGAGACCCACTGCCCAGTTTCTAGAGCCTGCATATTTTTACCTGCATGAGCTTAAGTGAACGGGCACCTAGATTAGTCACTACACATTATATCAGCACTATTCACCAGGAAGAACATTTTAAACAAGGGTCCTGCACCTGCAGGCTGTCCTCACAGGATAAGCCCAAGAAAAAAGGAGTATTCCCAGCATCAATACTCACCACAAACATGAAAACAGTGTAAAAGATGAGAGCCATGGCGCTGAAGGACTGTATGGAAGCCATCATGTTCCTCTGGAGGCTCAACGGGAGGACAATGCACAGGGAGACAGCGAAGAGCAGGACTATCCGGAAGCTGCCAGACACCTGGAAAAGGGATCTGCATAAAGCACTGAAGCACGGAGCACATTTAAAATATCTGACAAGATTAGCAGAACAGCTCCCATTGATGTGGTTTATTTTCTGGAATGAGAAAGGACGTAAAATCGGGATAGATTTGGAATGTAAAATTCTGTTTTTATAATGCAAAACTGGGATCGATTTGGAATGTAAAATTCTGTTTTTATACAAATTTCAAGAAAAAAAATGATACTGAGAGCTTGGCCTTTCTTTGGCTGGGTCTGTGATTAGCCTGTGCAGTCACTGGGTGCCACTGTTGCTCTACACAGTGCGTGACAGGTCTGTTCTGAAGGAGCAGAAGTGGGGAGGGGAGCAGGGGGTGTTTAAATGCTAATCCAACCCAAGCCACTCAAGTATCTTCATGCAGTTAAATGAAAACTGAACTTACTTTGGAAACAAGAGATTGAAGTCTTGAAAATTCTGATCCAGAAAATTAATCAAAACTCGCACTGGTATTTACTATAGCAGAACACTCTGAAATGCTTGGAAATATTTAATACCTAATTTGGCTGCAGCCACAACGCATCTTTTTAACTTCACGGTTCCTTAATCAGAGCTTAGCAGCATCAGGCAGAGCCGATAACGGCCCCGCCAAATCCTTCCGCGTGTCCATGTCGCTTCCCTGCACTGCCCTCGCCCCGTGCATGGAGCTGCGGGAAGAGCAGCCCTGGAGCATCCCGGGAGCACCCTGAGCACCGGGAGCATCCCGGGAGCCTCCTGCCTCCGTGTGCACGCAGCCAAGCCGGGGTCACCTCGGAGCATGGTTTGTGTTAGGGGGAAGCAGGTGCACAATAGCTCTGGCCACCAAAACATCAAGGAGGAAGGGACAAAAAGCCCCTCTTGAACTAGAGGGCTGCAAGAGCAGAGCCCAGACAGAGGAACCGTCTGCCACCACTCTTTATGGGCAAGAATGAGACAGGAAGCACCGTCCCCTCCAGGAAACCATTCTGGGATTAACAGAGACCAATTTGAAAAGAATTCCTTTGTTCGAAGGGCCTTACTGGGGCTTTTAGACTGCGGAGTGTACCCCCAAGCCTGGGCTTCCAGGAGTTTATGGAGCAAGATGCTCTGTTCACAAGGCATGCCATTCCTGTTCCCTACGACATGATCCAAATCACCCTGTGGCCTCGCGAGCACATAGGAAGGTTTAACACTCTCTGATGCATCTAAAATAAACACAGCTCAATACACTTTCCAGAAGAATTTGGATAACTTTTTGCATTGATGTAACCCAGTGAGGATTCATTTACCTGAAACCCAAGCAGCCGGGCAAAGAAGTTGGACCCCAGGTCACCAATGACGACGTAGAAAGCAATGCAAGTTCCTAACATGAGCCCAATCATGCTGCAAAAACAAACACACCAGCAAGTAAGAGAAATCCTACTGTGATACCCATTTACCCAGCAACATTCCCAAAAGTTAGAGGGATATACAGTCAATAGGGTATTTCTGGAGCGCCCTAAAGCTGCCCCTCGCTCATGCATGTGCAGAGGGAACGTGGCCTCCCTGGCACATCACGGCTAAGACAGGCCCAGGTTTCCATGCCAAAAACATGTTCAGCAGCCAGTGATAAAAGCCAAAGATGCTCTATCCACATGCACTATCTTTGCTGGAGATGGAGTTTAACTACTGTTTGGAGGCACAGAAGAAATAGGCCTCAGGGATGGCAAAAACTCCTTTTTTTCCTCTTTGGAAAAATGCTGGAGAGAATGAGCCAGAGGCCTCTCAGCTCCACCTCCTGCAGAGAGGGTATACCATGAAAGTCTCAATACCAAATCAGCTCTCAAACGCTGTTCCACAAAACGAGCCACACTTGAATAAAAAGATTGTTTGATGAACCACTTCTCCTCCCATTCACGACTGCCTGGACCACTTTTCCTCCCATTTCCAATTATATAACATCCCTGTGGCAATTACAGCAATTGCCTGCACGGACAAGTAACATTTGAGAAATATTCAGGGTATTTTTAGCATTCTGCAGCAGTTTGCAGCTGGGAGCAGAGCTTGGCCATGGGGAACGGGCCGTGGAGGTGCCCCCGCTCCGCATGGGAGAGCGGAACGGGGCTCCCGGGAAGCAATGGGATGTGCTGGGGCCAAACACAAAGCTGCACTTGGGGATCTCGTTTCCCTTCCCGGTTCAAATTCCAGGTAGCAAGGAGGACTTTGGGGACCAGAGAAAAAAGGAGCGTAAGAAATGAGAGCACGGCAAGGCCACAAGAGGCTGCCGAGCAGAGTCTTTCATTACAGAAAACCAAACTGTTCCAGCTTTAAATAAGTAGCACATTACCTTGTTTCCACCAACATTTTCCCTGCTTTTCCATAGGCGTGAAATGCTGGCATAAAAGAAGAAAACAAACAAACATGGCAGTCAGTGAAGCAAAGGTCCAGAATGGAGCACATATATCAGCTAGAAATGAAATAATAACAGTGATAAAAAGCAAGTCAGCAGGAAAAAAAAAAATGTTGTTATTCTGGGGCCAATTCCCTTCCCCACCCTCCCAGTTTCTTCTCCAGACGTGCCCTTCCCACAGAAGATGGGAACAAAGATGAGGGAAAGACACAAAGCAGGTTCCTTTTTTTTCTACTTCTCCTTTCCTTTTAAGTAGTGTGAAGTAGCAGTCACACATGGCAACCATTAAAAGAAAAGTCAGCGCGGAAGAGAAAATATGCATGTAGAAGATGCTGTGTGGCAAAAAGTTCCTGCAGTACAAAATTTCAATCAAACTCTCATTTTTATTTTTATCTTCCCACCCTAACTGAACCGCCTGATGTTGCTGGATGGGAGAGCTGAGACGGTGCCCAGAATGTTCAATTCCATACCCAGAATACCCAGGCCTCACAACCCACACCAGAAGGTTGCTGCCAAGAGACAATTTTTTTCCATACTTTGGTTGTAGCTTGTAGCAGAAAATGATCAGTAGTCTTTAAATCATCGGGGTTTTTTTTTGCAAAAAGAAAATGCCAAGAAAACTCTGCTTGTATTTTTAGCTCTATGTTACCAGAGAGAATGGGAATGAAGAGCTCCAGCTCCAAGCAGGGACCGCACTGCTGGAGCTGCCAGCGGAGCAGCGGCGCCGGGACCCCCTCGTGTCCCCCGGGGCTCACCTGGTGGCCACGGAGGACACGGCGTTCGCCGCTGGAAACGCCACCTCTTATTGTAAATACTCACTTACAAACAGCGATTTCTTTGGGCTCTGCTAAAGTTGAAAATCAAGGAAACAGGATGTTCTCCCATGGGGTGAGGAAAAGCAGGGCAGGAGAGCGGCCCCACAGCGCTGCGGCGGCAGGACGGGGCCCCCGGCCCGCGGCGCCGCTGGGATCTTGCGGCAGTAACAGAACGAGGAAACAGCCCCCAGGTGGGTCAGCCAGATAGGCAGCATCAAAGGGCGAGGTGGGAAAGGAAGAGGAAGCGGCAAGAGGGAAAATATCCCTGCCGGAGCCCCGTCGGGGCAGCCTCCAGAAGGGCTCTGCTCCGGCATCGTTCCTACGAGCTCCTTTTCTACATCCCGTAGGAATGTGGGTGTCTCCGGATAACAACTGCAGCTGCCGGCTCCGGCCGAGCTGCTGAGAATCGATCCCCCTCGCTGGCTATTCCGAAACGATGCCCTAATGAGAACAAACCTCCACACGTTATGTCACATGTCCCCATCTGGGGACAAGAGAAAAACCGGATCCTTTATCTTCTCACGGAGGAAGGAGACGATGGCTATAAAACACATCGTGCGGCGAGCCGCCCGCGGAAGGGGATCTGTGGCTGCCTAACGAGCTGGGCAGCGCCGAGGCGGCTCGGCAATTAGGGAAGCCCATTTAAAGCCCGCGTGGCAACTGCAAGGGCGAGCTGTGCTCCGTGGGGAGCTTCCCGAGCCGCTTCCCCGCGGGGCCGGCCCCAGCACAAACAGCCTGCGAAGACCCAGGCCGCCGGCAGCTGCCGCGAGGGCTGGGGGGAGGCAGCAGCTCCTTTCCCGGTTAAATTCCATCTCGGAATCACACCCACTTCCCCGCCTGTTCACACATCTGTCCGAGGCCCTTCTTTTCCACGCAGCGCTGCCGAAAGGTGTTGAAGGGCAAAATATTTTTAATAACCAATCCCCTGGCGCGCACGGGGCTGCCGAGAGGAGATGTCTGCGCTAGATATTAGCCTGCTACGCGCCCAGCGCTTTTGTAGTGGTAACGGCAGCTCTCAGTGCTCCTCCGGAAGGCACTGGCTGACTGAAGTTAATTCGCAAAACTTTCTTACATCTTTCAGCGCTGCCAAAGCCTCCCACAGAAGGAGCTGCAGGGGCTGCCAGGCCCCTCTCGCAGATGCACGCGGTGACAAAGGCCGCCTGTGTGGAGCCGCTCGGCGCCGGTGCATTGGGATGCGGCGCAGGAGCGCTGCCTTTCCTCCGGGACCGCTCCGGGGCACCTCTCCCAGGGCCAGCGGAGGGAGGAAGGGGCCGCGCCGCGCTCGGTGCCAGCTCTGCTGTGCCAGGAGGTCTGCAGGCCCTCTGTGTGCGCGGGCGCCTTGGCCGGGAGCGCGCGGAGGATCCCGGCTTCCTGGGAGGCGCGGGGCAGACTAATGAAAGGATTAAAAAAGCCTCTCCTGGGGCCGCACCGCGGGGACCCATCCGTCACCATCAGCGCGTCCCGCAGGAGCCTCGCAGCTCCCCGAGGACACGGGAGAGCCCCTGCCCTCCGTCCCACGTGCCAGCCCAGGGGACCCACGGCAGCCAGCCCGTGTCCCCCAGGCAGCACCGGAGAGGTCACGAGCAGAGCGCGGTGCCGGCGCCAGCGCCGCGGAGACGCGCTCCGAGGAAGAGGCCCGGCCGCGCCTGCCAAACCCCACACATGAATCTTGCAGCTGTTTTTATTTTCTCGGCCACTTGGAAGCTCGCACACTGCTTCCTCTCTGCTCCCCTGCTCTGCCATAAATGCACACGGAGCTGGGATCCAGGCAGCCCCCGCTCCGTGCCAGGCTCTCTGCTGGCAGAACCCGATGTCCTCGGCAGCGCGCTGGGTGGGGACGCTCGTGGCTTTCGTGCTGAGACCAATAATTTACACCAGACACCCGCTACGCCAGCTCCTGAAAACTTGGGTTTTGATCAGTCAGCGCCGCATCTCCTCCCCTGCCCTGCAGAGGCAAAACAATTCTGCGCCTATTAACTTCCCTGTCAAGAGCAGAATTAAACCCTGGCGCTCCCCCGGGGACGCGGGGCCGGGAAGCGGCTGACAGAGGAACAAAACACAAATTGAAAACTACATCAAGAAACCATTTTATATTCCAACAATATCAGTCTGAAAGTTGTAAATTGAGAGGTCAAAGCAAAACCGCAGTTAAAAAACAAACAAGCAAAACACACACAAGCCCGAGCGCCGAAAATTCTCACCAAGGCCGGGGTAGGTCCTGCGCTTGCTGAGGTTGGCCGACTTCACCAGGAACATGCAGGATTGATGAGTCATCCAAGAACAGAAAATGAGGAGCAGAGCTCCCAGGACAATGCCGCACTGGGAAGGGGTGCAGGGG